GTGGTTTTAGAGTTTTATAAATTTTTCACATTCTTCAAAGAAACTTTTCTTGAATTGCTGACTGCGATGAAGATCTAACTTCAAAACAAAATGTAATTAGTGATCGTCTGCAGTAAATTCAATACATACAAGGAAGCTTGGCCTTTTAACTATAGGCACTGTACTAATCAGGTGGAATAGGATCACAGGATTGTTTCCTGTTGATAAGTGTTCTGTCATGTCATTTGAGCCTAAGGACTGAATATGTTCTTACAGCCGTTGGGCCTTGTCTTCCCCGCAAGACTAACCTTCACCTTTTAACCAATTTTATTCATACTTATCCTAACTTACCTACGTACTATTTTAAAAATCATTTTGTTAAAAATGTTTAACATCATGCACTTATTGGTACTACATATAAATGTAACATTTAGGTTGACTTGTCTTCCCCACAAGATGAACCTTCACCTTTTAACCAATTTTATTCATACTTATCCTAACTTACCTACATACTATTTTAAAAATCATTTTGTTAAAAATGTTTAACATCATGCACTTATTGGTACTACATATAAATGTAACATTTAGGTTGACCAAATTAATTGCCAAATGCAAATAATTTTATATTGTTAAGATTATTCCTCTTCACCTTTTTTTGGGAAAATTTTTGAACCTTCAGTGAAGCCAAAAGAATACACAATGAATACTCATCTACCACTTAACCCAGATTCACCACAATAATGTCTTACGTATGCTTTTGTTCTCCCTGACTGTCTGTTTATATATATGTCTTTGCTCCCTCCTCCCTTATTTTTTGGCTGAGCCGTTTGGAAGTAAAGTTGTTGATGACATTACTCTTCACCTCCTAAATATTTTACATTACCTAAATATTTCAGAATGTATCTTTTAATGAAAAGGGGATTTGCCTCCATAACGATAATACTGTTAGTGTATGCAAAGAACATGGATAAAATAATGTCATGTAATATATTGTTCATATGCAAATATAGATTCTTTTTTTAAATGCATCTGATTGTCATTTTTCTTTAAACTCCTCTCATCTAGAACAGTCTTTCAGTTGTCAAAAAAGCAGTTTAGTCTCGAAAAATTGTCTTTCAGTTGTCTTTTAGAATGTCTTACAGTCTGAATATTTGTTCATAAGATTTCGGTTCAACATTTTTAGCAAGACTACTATATAGGTGCTATAATGTTTTATAGGATTGTTAATTTGCAAATCCTATTTTATGAGATTTATTTAATTTTTATCACAAAACCGGAACTATCATCCAGGAATTGGAAAGAAAGAATAATTTAGATATTTATTTTAATAGGACACTACTATAATATCCTGTGCATTTTATCTTTAGACTTCTTTTTGCAAAGGACAATTTTTTTCTTTCTGTT